AGAAATCTGAACTCAGGGAAAAAATGAGATCAGTTATCAGTAAGACCACTAAAGCTCCGCCTCTTCACTCTTCACCTGGGCCCTGATTGGTGCTCTTCTCCTCCACCCAGCTGTAGTAAGCGGAGCAGTCTCCGTTGCTGGGCAGGGCCACAGGGGGCCCCGTGATGCTGATGCTTGTCTCTCCGTTCTGGTCGTCCCAGATCCAGCGTCCCGACAGGTAGGTGGTCCTCCGGGCCTCGGCCAGCTCGCTCACCGTGCTCGAGGTCAGCGGGTCGCACTCGGCCAGGACGTCCGCAGGGTCTCTAATGGACACACAGGGGCAGAGAGCGGGATGACAACACGTGCTCCATCAGTCCCATCAGAGGTGTTCCTGAAACGCAGAAGGCTCCACCCCCTACCTGCTGCCCAGTTTCTCCTCCTGCATGGGGAAGATGTGGGTGGTGAGGTCGCGGATGTGCTCCCGCCGCAGTGCGGCGAGCTGGCTCAGTCGGCTCTGCAGGTCTCGACTGCGTTTCTCCATCAGCTCACCGAGACGCCGGTTGTGGCGCTCGATCTTGTCGCGTTTCTCACCGTGGCGAACGGCCCGGCGCTGCAGCCGCTGGACGTCCTCCTGACACCTGGAGAGGCGCTCGTTATCTGCGGCAGGAGGGGGAAACGGGTCACGCGACGGCTCACGCACCGTGTCAGTTTTAAACCTGCTGACACTCACCGTGCCTCGCCTCCTCGTTGCCCCAGGCAACCGCCTCCTTTAGCTGCTCCACCTTCATCTTACACGACATGATCTTCCATTTCTGAGGACGACAACAGCAACTGGCTTTTAATCAGATTTGAACTTTAATCTGTTCACATTTTTATTCATGCAAACAAGTTAAAACATCAGCTCTCGGCTGGAGGTCAGAGGTCAGAGGTGCCGCACAGATGCACCTGACGTGCTCTCGGAGAGGATGGGAGGAGCTACAGCGCATTAAAAACTGCAGGTGAGCTCACTGAAGGTAACATTACAGAGCAGAGGAGCGATAAGGAGGC